ATGAACATTTGAAGAGAGCAAAGAATCAGACACTCTAAAATTCACCACAAAAATCATTTACAAAGCACTTCACACACACACAAATTGAAGGTGTTATGTTATTCTAAAGGGCTTTCGAGATACTACGAATCAACTTTACTACAATGTTGGATTTGAGACATAAAAGTGTCCTGCCCTCCTGACGTTCTGCACCAGATTCTGAAGCATGTTATTTCTTGAAACGTCAGTCAGCCTCTATGATTGTTCATACTACGTTGTAGACATTGAAGTTCTAACAAGCCGTGACGCAGCATTGCCATTCTCGTATTGCTGCTTGATATGACCTGTAGTCACGGTGAAGCCTTCCCGAACACTACTAACAGGGTTATTTTCAAAGAAGCTGAATCAGTACTTTCTCGTTTTATTTGTAATAGACATGTAATATCCGTATTGTAATATTGCATATTGTATGTAACTCTTCAGCTGTTTCAGGAAACACTCTCTTCAACAAAAGAAGAGCGAGAAATTCAAATTAGCAATTTTCGAAATTTGACAAGTTTTGATAAGTTGAGAATGAAAGTTGCATACATTTCACGAAAAATTACGCGAAAACTGATTATATTTAAATGACCTAAATTAATAAAAACTGTTCATGTTATATATTTAAGGAAAAAAAATCTATCTTCTATATTGTAGTTGTAGGAAGACACCGAAGAAAATTTCTACTTTTACCTTCTTCTTCGAAAATTTAGAGTTCATCGAGAGTGAGTCTTGTGCCGTTTTTAAAAGTACTTTGCCCGATCCGATAAAAAATTTAATCAATAAATAGAGTCATTTTTCGTAAAAAAAAAAATAAATAAATTTTGACGCTTCATATCCCCAAATATCAAAATAACGGTTTGAAACTCACAGAGCCTCGAGTTCAGCCAGATTTATTAAGTATGTCAATTTAGGAGACTCGTCGTGATTTTGTCGTCTGGTTTAGGCGCTAGTGTTGACCACACGCGTTAGTGTTGATCTGTTTGTGATCACTTTCAAGATGGGAAGGACCATGTCTGTCGCTTATCTCAATTTCTTTTTCCCAAAGAAAATCCTAATGTATTTAATTCTATTGTTTTTAACACATTTTTTCACTTAGTCATAATTCCCAGCTCCCTAATAATTGTAAACTAGTTGTGCTACGTAAACATATGCAACTTTCTTATAGTATTTGTAACAGTTACACAATATTATAATACTACTTGAACCTGCAAATGTATTCGCAATCAGCAATTACATTTCCGCGCTGGAATTCGAACTAAGGTTCATCTGTTTAGCTCGTCATCTACGTTATCCATACACCACCTGCCTCACATGGGGAACACATAAGTCTCGACACTTCCAAAGTTTAATCAAATTTGACATTTAAGCAAATTAAAAAAAAATTATTATATTTTATTTTTCATTCGATGAAATAACCAGTATCCATCACTATTGTAATATATTTAAGATATTGACAAGTATTTTTCAGTTACACGCCATTTTTATTTCATATAAAATTACTTATGTCCATTTTAAGATTGTATAGCATCTCACCAACCGTTCCTTGAAAAGGACACATCTTGTATGTTATTCGAAAATTATTTTCATTCATTACAAATTTTGAAATAACTTAATTCGCAGTTAGAAAAAATTGTTTTACGTTGTTCCACACAAAAAAAGTTTCAAGTGAAATTTTATGAATTTCATTATATTTCTTTGGGATATTATCAGCACCATCACATGTCCGAAATCCATATATTTTTCGTATGTGCATAACACAATTGAATCGGTGATTTGAAAAAGAAAATAAGTATTTTTCTATAGTTCTGAGAAAAAAAGGGAAGAATACACTTAAAAACATTCACAGTTGGCATCTGGAATCTTTAAATTTTTTATTTTTTTTATTTTTCTTTATTGTTTCGTAAGTCCAAAAATAGTCATAGAATAAATATATAATGATGTGAAAAAACATTGGGCTATATGGTTATGAAATATACTCTTACTAAATTAATCATATCAGCATCTACTCATCATCGATTTCCACTTGAGTCTGTGGCTACGTCAAAACTTTCTGAAGACATACCTGCGGGATGCATTTTACTATTTTTGAACATCAGTTTTCTTTCCGTTGATTGGAAGAACAGCTGCTACATAAACTTTCTTGAAAGTCAAATCTTCATTATCTTTTACCAACATGAATAAGTACTTGATAAGGCCATTAATATAGGTACTCGCTGCGAGAAGTGGCTCAGCGCTTAGCGCTCTGACTTGGCATTCAGGAGCCCCAGGTTCAATCTCGGTACAGGCCAGCCTGACGGGGGTTTTCGTCATCCAGGCGAATGTTGGGATGATTCTACTGCAAGGCCACGATCGCGAATCCGGCGTCGCTAGATCGTCGAATTGCTTAACTACGTGAAGTCACGGAGGTAATTCGAGATGTCGCGGGTTCCTTCAGTTGGGTGATCGACTAACGGCGGCCCAGGTCAATTGCTCTTCAGGGGACATACAATGGCTAAATACAAATAGAAATATATACTCACGTGCTCCGGGGTAACCGACATATTCTCCATCATACGTTAGCTGTAGAGTAACACCAGGTTTACAATGAGAACTGCCATGACGAGCAAGAATTTTTTTCTTTTCTTAAAATAGTTCGACCACCGACCACCACCACCTTTGAAGTATATGATTTAAGCATTTAAGCGTCCCTAGCTCGTAATACTATTTCTTCAAGGTGAGGATCAGAAAATAGTCGTGGACTTCTTTCTCTTTTCCAGACATTAGAATTTTTAGTTGATAATAGAACACATACTTTAAGTTGGTCAAGTTTCAATTTTTACACTGACCTTTAGCTTGAAAGAAAAAGACAAAAGAACATGTATATCTCAACTGTTTTTACCAAACTAATTTCTTTTAAAAATTACCGATTCAATTAAACCACACAATTGTTAGTGCTCTGGATATTTGGAGTAATTCCCTCAAATATTACAGTGTTTTGAGTAATATTGCCACAAAAAACAATAGCATCATTTGCGACAGTTATTAATTTTGTTTCTTGTAAAAAAATAATGTATGTTTTTATACTTTTTCCCTTTCCCACCTTCACAGAATTTCATGCCAATTACATCTTTGAAATTGAAAAGTATTAGAACAAGAACAAATATTCGACAATTTATAAGTTTATTAAATCAATTTCAAATAAATTATAAGAAATAGTTATATGCAATAACAAAAACTGCAGAAAATCCTCAACATAACATACTAAAATATATTCTTAAACTTTTAATATTGAGATTTAAAAAAAAAACGTAGAAATTAATACATAAAAAACAGTTTCTATGCACAAAAAATGAACGAATGTAAGAAACTAACAGAACTGCCAAAATTAGTGAAATGAATTTATCGTACCTACATGATACACACTTACTCCAATTTAGTTTGGCATGTCTCGAGTGTAAAAATAATTCGAATGGTCACGAATGTACACGAATGGACTGGATTTAAGATCTTATCTGAATGGGTGAAAACCAGAACGGTTTGTGACATTTTATAAATTCTGAGATATTTGTTTATTGAAGTCAATATTACTGTAAAGTCATGGTTCTTTGTTTCATCATTAAAACCAAGGCACTTCAATTGTTAATTAAAACCACGAAGATACATTGCCACTAAAATATAGTATAAAATAAACAAAATTTTCTCAGAAATTTTAAAATGTCACTTATACCGTTCTGGTTTTCACTCATTCATATGTTATTCCGAATTTTGATGTATATCGCAAGATCCCATGGACTAACTGTAGTTTTAATCAGTTATTTTAAGTTACTTTTACATAATAACCGTTACTTAGATGTGTAATGGAGATCGCCTTAAAACTTCTTGAAAAAACGAGGAAATGTTAACCTGTGGAGCTCTGATTTTTCAAAAATTGTAAAAATTGAAAATGACTCTTAATTGTTTCTGTAGCTTTTCTCGAATAGAACAAAGTATGCTTGAACAAATTTCGCATGTTTTTTTTCTGTGAACTCTGAAGTTTCAAAAATTGCAAAAACTTAACATTGCAAATGTATAATATTGACGATAGAGATTTTTTCCTGAATGACATCTTTACTAAAAAAATTAGAGCTTTGAATAAGACAGTGTACAATTGTCTGAAAAGCGAGTAGTTTTCGCTTAATTTGTGTGTGGCAGAACTTTGAAACGAGAAAATGTTTATCAAGAAGAGGTGAGAGAGCTAGATGCAAAAGTTGCGGTAGTGAAATGAAGAGACGGATTTCGTGAGTAAAAATGTATTTACTAACAAAATTTACAATTTTTTGTGAGAAGAAATGGTCATTGTAAAAGACGTTAAGATATTTTCATAATCTCAGTCGTATTCACATACTTGCTAAGAGATGTGTGTAGAACCTGGTCTCATCAAATAAAAACACGGTCTAAACCAAAAACCTTTTTGAAACAATATATAAACAAAAATATTAAATCACAGAAACATTTAAATCAAAAAATCACATTTTAACCAAAAAAACCTTCTTTAAATGAAAAAAACTCATTCATTTGTTTTTTCTTAGAAAAAACTGTTTTTTCCAACAATGCAGAATTTGAAAATGAAATAATAATGAAATAACGTAATAAATGATAAAGAATATAATCATAATTGAAATCTCGGTTCTTTAGTATAAAACGTCAGGCAAACGTACTTTCGTAATAAGCTACCGTTTTTCTTGTTTCGTGTGCACTTTGTACTACTCAGCTTACCTGCTACAGCTTGTGCATTTGCCGTCTCTCGATTTGGAGGGGAAATTAGAGCGGGATGAGGGGCGCCGGGCTTTACAGGCGGGCACGGAGGTCTGGCAAGGGCAGTTGGACATGCCTGTCCTAAATCTTCGTTTTGGGGTGTCGCTCTTTGTTGTGGCGTTGATTTAGGGAATATCGAAGACGATTGGCGGCTACACTTTGATAGGGGAGATATGTACAGGATATCCTAAAACCGCATGAGTTACATTTAGGGCAGGAAGATGAAAGGTTTTCCAAGAAGCATTCTCTATGGGCAATGCTCGGCCGACGTTGTTTATCCCCTCCGGAACATTCTTTGAGTTATCATCCATCGGATATTTTTGAAACAATCTGCAACGATAATTTAAGCAAGCAGAACAGACAACAGTTGCAGCAATACTCCATGAACAGAGATGTTGGTCATGGATGACTGAGAAAACAAAATTTCTCTATTAATTTTTATTTTAATATCTCTCGCTTTAAACAATTTTGTTTGAATTTTCTCCTTCTGATGTTTTGTGAATCCGTTACTGAATGCAATCGCATCACCTAGTAGAACTAAAATCTTGCAGGACACAATAAGTAATTATTTTCAATAGCCTATCTCCTTCTTATATGAATGTTTTCTCACTTCGTATTTTTAAGTCCTCTAGGAAATGTTTGGAAATGACTTCAACTATTCAGATCTTTTTTCTCCAAAAGTACCTGTTCACAAATCCTTCAGGAAACCATCAGTGTGAAGTTTCGTGTGAACCTAGTGAGTTTACACATGGATAATTTTCTCTGTATTTTGAATTTTGAACAATATTTTGAAATGACGGCCCTTGCGACGTTTCTTTCGCTTGTTTGTCATCCGAACCTTCTTGTTCTTTCTTGTGTGTTTCTCATATTCAAAGGAATTTTAACAGCTTTCAAGGTTCTGGGAAAGTTGATATCACCATCTATTCATCAAAATAGAAATACAAATAAAATTAATTTCACATATTCAATGGTGTATTTAGCATTAATTTGGTGATTATTATTATTATGTATAATTTGCCTCTTTAAAAGAATTTATTTAAAAAATTAAAATCAGAAAATGCTTTAATATGGGTACTTCTAGAATCTTGATGCCCCTGGTGAATACTGGTGACATCCAGTTGTGCAGGAAGCACTGAATGCAACGCTGCACATGTTCAGTAATACATTGAATCATGATGACCATTGAATTAATCACCAAAAGTGATTGCTGTTCATGAATTCGCGGCGTAAAAAGAAAAAAAGAAGGAACCTCCAAACAAAGAAGTAGTCGTAATTAATGTCTGTAGAATTCCAAATGTAAACCTATAAGGTTACATAAATAATTATTGTTGAATTATATTTTAATTTGTCGTTATTATTTCAATGTATTTTATATTTAAATTAGTCAATATTATCAATTACTCATGGTCTGGTCTGTACGCTATAATCAAAAGTGTGCAGACGCTGCTGTATCAGGCTTTCAGAAGGCCGATGCATTCATGCGCCCGAGCCAGTGGTGGCACCGGTTTTGTAAATCGCAGATGTTTTTCCGGAAGCTGCATCTGCCACATCGAGTGAAAGCGACACAAATCCTCGAGAATTAACACACGCGTCTCTTTTGAAAACTCATGCTTCACTTATCGTGAGATCAGGTTTTTTATGGCTTATATTTTATGTCGTCCGAAAACGCTTGTTCCATCCCCAGGACTTCTTCGCCTCCAAAATTATTCGCTGTCGCGTGCCCATTGACCAGAGAAAGTACTTGTTTTATTCTTCATTCACGGGCTCCTAGCAGAAGCTTTCTTTTACAAACCGACTGGTGTGTGTGTGTGCAGCTTGGCTGCAGGGGGACTGTCATTGTGAAAGCGCGACCTCCAGGTCACTCACCCGCTGCCCCCTCTTCACTTCCCCCGCGCGGCCGTGCGGGGCGGCAGGGTGGGGGCAGGCCCCCCGCTGCGCGGCCGGCGTTGCGCGGGGCTGCCTTTTTGTCCGGCCGCTCTCCGCCCGGGCCTTTCCCCTCCCCTCCCCACCCTTCCCCTCCCGCGCCTCCCCTCTCCGCTCTCCGGATGCGCCCCGCGCACCCGTCCCGACGACACGCAAGCAAGCGGGCAGGCGTCTGTCCTAATAGTATGCATTGGTTAGCTCGTGAAC